CAAACCGTTTGTAAATCCGTCAAGATTTCAACGAGATAAGAGTATTTGTGTTCGTGCTGATCACTCATCTTACATCAGGTACCACATAGTCGAAGTCGTCATCTGATTGGTTGAATTTTATCGGATTTCCGGGGGGCGCGAGTGTCGCGTTTATTTTCGGTCCGCCGGGAAACAAAGCGCAGACGTGTGATTGCGGAAGAAAAACTGTTGTGTTTACACGAGTGACAATGAGCATTTATCAAGATCAGCTAAACGTAGGATTCTCAAAAGTAGACTCTTGAAGTTTTCTTCTCCTTCTTTGATTTTCTATGCTGACTGACTTGTTGCACGCCAGTCTGTTGTTGTGGGGACATTTCCACGCCCCGAAACGTGACGCTGAACGAAACGAACTGTAATTGGTTGTTTGAGATGTCGGTCAAACGGCCTTATGGCCGGGCCTTGGCCAAAGAAAGCTGCTATGAATTCCAGACCTTCAGCCGTCAGTCTGAAGGTCTGGCTACGCGAGACTAGGCACCACAGAGCCCGCCAGAAAGCTTGCCTGTGACAAGATGGCCGCCGGTGATGACGATAGAGACTCCGCCGTAAGACATCTAGCCTTTATTATGGATATCTATGCTTGTGATGACATAGGGTGACCAACAGTCCTGTTTTCCCAGGACATGTCCTGTTTTCACGTCCTGTCCTGGCCGTCCTGGCTGTTTTTTATAAAGTGATGAAAATGTCCTGGTTTTCAAAAAACTGATGGGAAAGATCAGCTCTACAGCAAAATATAGATGGGCAAACAAGGAGGATGAGGAAGAAAAACAGGATAAAGAGGAAGAAAACTATCAATATATTTTGTAATATTTTAAATATATAAATAACGTTTTTGTAAGTTTGTGAGAGCTATTTTTGTTCAATTTGGAGGTATTTCTTTTAGTTATTTATTATTTATATATTTATTTTTCTAATACAGAAGAGACATTATTTCTATCATTATTTCATTCATTATTTTTGAATCCTGTCATAATAAAACATGTTGAGTAACCTCTGAGAACAAATTGGGGAAAAATTGCGTTATAGCCTTTAAGGTTCAAAAGTTACTAGCATAAAAGTACCGGTAAGTACAAATTCGGACAGTTGGTGGCGCTAGAGGGATTGAGTTAGAGACTTCAAAATTGCTGTGATTAATGTACAGACTGTCCTCTATCTGTGTGCCAAATATAATGAATTTCCTGCAAGCGTTTTATAGCAGAAAAATAAAGACAAGAAGAAGAAGAAGAAGGAGGAATAAAAAAAACACTAATGCATATCATAGGCCCCAAAAATTGATAAACGCAAACATGAAACATAGAATATTAAGAATAGACATACCAAGAACCCAAACCAGTAAGTTCTTCTCTTTCGACACCTCAAGCTGTCCAGAGCTCACTTTGACCTCCACACTTCCCATTAGATTCCTGTGAGGAAGCACACACATGGACACTATAACAGCCAATGTACTTTCTATAAGCACAAAAATACAGAACCAGCTAAAGACCATAAAGACCGCCATTATAAATGTATGAGTGAAAGTGTAAATCCCAGCAGCACACCCAACACGTGTGGAGTACAAAATTACGTTTTTTACTAAAAAAAATAAACATTACTTACTTGTTGAAAAATGGAAGGTGCGCCTCACAGTACTCAAAGCTGTTTTTTACACTTTCATGGAGCTTCAAGACGACATTAATCTTTAGATGATTCTCCTCTGCCTTCAGCTGGTAGGAGCCAAGAATCGGTGGCACGGGTACCTCAAAAACAGTTATAAGCCCAAGTCAGTTGAAGACACTACAGCTTTTAGTGTGTGCATATACCATAATGAGAGACAATTAAAGTTATTTTACTGTATTTGTTATCAAATAAATGGAGTCTTGGTGAGCAAAAGAGACTTTAAAAAAAGAAAAAATGTAATCTTGCCAACCCAAACTTTTGAACGGTAGTGTAGATTTAGGGCCCTGTTTACACCTGGAATTAAGATGCATTTTGGTCGATCGGATCACAAGTGGACGGCGCTAAACACAGGAGTGAACGGGGTCTAAAACATTTTGAGCTTTTCCACTTTCGACCACTTCCAGACGTAGTCGAAAACGCATTTGACCGGATTGCTTTCGTAGTGTAGACGCTCGTGTGGTCGCCTACTCTCCGCTTACTGAGCTAATGCATAAACATTATGGGAAGCACGCTAGCCAGACGGGATTTAAACTTTGTCGGCTGAAGACCCAAGTTTGGTTTGAAGACGAAAAACGTACCAGGCACAATCTTCTCTCACCATTCCTGATTTCTAACACAAACTCGGATGGTCTTGTGGCTGTCAGAGCAGAAAGGAAAGCTGTTGCTCTCCACACGTTTTTCTGTCGTCTCCGGTCACGGTGAGCTTATTTTGTCCATTATTAGATCAACAAATATTTTTAAAAAAAACATACATTTACCCGCCCACAGACCCTCCCCTCGAAGAAATCAGGACAGAAGTGGACAAAAGAGACGCATTAAAACACCGGGTATGCGTCTCCCTCGTCTACTTAAGATCCGATCAACCAAAACTCATCTTAATATCAGGACCTTAAAGTTGTGAAAAACTATTAAAATACAGACTATTGCTAGACTAAGCTCTACCTGTGAGGTGTAGCTACAGAGTCTGAAAAGCTCCAGAGGTGGTGAGAAAGGGAATTTGTATGGCCCTGAAAAGGCGGAACCGTCATTCTCATCCACACTGCAGGCAGTGAGAATGCTTGCGTCCAGAGACGTCACACAGGGATGGACAAGGATGTCCAGCAGGGGTGAACCGTTGGGTGGGAGCGTGAGGGTGACGGTCACATTGGGCAGAACACCTTCAACCTCACACTGAAAAACATGAAGTAACAACTGTAATGCAAGTTTAATAACAAAAATCAAACTACAAGTTAAGCATAAAGGACGGGGACTAACTTTGCACATGACCATGCCGTATACATCCCAGAGATCCTGTCGACTGCTCTTGCCGTACTGCATGGACCTCACCTTCTCGGAAAGGGCCACACTCACTACCGCCCTGCCTCGATGGACCCCTGCCTTCCAGGCTGGTTGTTTCTGAGCCCCCCCTGGGCTTGGAGACACAGCGACAGGCACCGATCCAGCTGGAGGAGGGGTGTCCAGTGGTCTCCCCAAAGGGCAAACCTGCAGAAGCAAAGAAGGAAGGGCAGCCAAACGGGAGGCCAGCACATCAGGCTCTGGTTTACCTCCAGGGCCACAAAGGAAATCCTGCAGGCCTGACAAAAGAGCTAAGCCCTGAGAGACTGAGGCCAGGCTGGGGAGAGGAGGCCGAGGTTCAGGGGCTGCTTCCACCAGAGGAAGGCAGGCTAGGATTAGCGCTCCCTGAGTTACGATGAGAACGGGCCAGAGGGTTCTCCCTCCTGAACCATCTACACGGAGTTCCACTGCCGGCGAACGGTGCTGACGGGCACAGTCGTCCCGTGCGTCTACGTAAGGTTTGTCAGCATCCACCAGGCCCAACTCTGTCAGCAGAAGCTGGGGTACGACGCGGTCCTCCGGAACAGACACATACTGAGCTCCAGCCAAGGATTTGGCACGGAACTCAACTGTTGGGAATCGTCTAAATGAAAAAGAAAAAGAAAACAAAACTGAATAGAAAAGTAAAACAGAAAAATGGCTGTTTAAAAAAGCATCCAATCGTTTCACTTAAACTGCTGTAGTGTGTGCTGTGCATAGATTTTTTTATTCATGGAAATCCCAGATAACTGAAATTCACAAGCAAATAATCAAAATTGACCATTCTTTATTTATGTAACTTTGCAGTATGTACTATAAATAAACACCTTTTTTTAAAATTCATGTGCCCTCGTAATCTTTAATCAAAATAACTACCCCTCCCTCTTGCAGTATCTTCTCTTCTCTGATGATGTGTTTATTGGCACGAGGGCGGGATCAACCTGTCACTCACATGAGATCGACCAATAGCAAACCACAACGATCTAACAATCCAATCAATTCCCAATGGACAAAAAAAAAATGTCAACATTTTTTCTTATTCAATAAGACGTTTCACTCGGATATACATCACAATAGGAAAGAAAAGTCTATAGCAACTCCAATTTCATGACAACTTTAAAGTTTTAAACAGTAGTATGCTAAACTGTTCTCACACATATAAATTCAATCCAGTGAGTAGCATCTATCACATTGGAAATAAATGGAACTACTTTTCATTTCAATTCAAATGTGTCAAAAATAGATATTTTATCTGTCCAATTAAATAATTAGTTAAAACAGAGATATGTACAGGTAACCTAGATAGGAAAAGGAAGATCATGCTGAGAATATTGCATTGGGTTTCCATGAAGTTGTGCTTGGTTGCATACTGCACATTTTTGGCAAATGTAGTATATCATCCATACAGAAAATCAATAAAAGCAGTAGCCTACGTTAGTATGCCATTCTAAACAACAACAAAAAAAGTAATAGACAGTATGCAGTACATACTACACAGTATGCAAAAAGCTGTATGCTAATATTCCATCACAGACAGTGTCCTTACCTGGAAAACCGAACCTTTACAGATTCACCCTTCTCGTGTGAGACAACCCATAGTGCTCGTATACTCATGCTGTTGTTTATGTCCCTATTGATGAGTGGGAATAATCTAACATGCCAAACATCTAGCGAAGTATGCAATTATTATCTCACTAGGTAAGCCGATTTTTTTTTATTTGTTTACAGTTCAACACTGAGTAAACTTAAGATACATGTTTAAAGAACAAATAAATAAAAGAAAAATAAAGGAACTCGCAACTGTCATGTGTTATTCCCATCTGACAGCTTTTTCTTCCTGTTTGCCAGTCATCACGTGACGTTTTGAGGCGTGGTCGGAAAACGTACTGACGTAGGATCAGCCTTAACTAACGTCGCTGTTTTCAGCTACATTGGAGTAGAATTTTATAACTGATCTCAGATCTGCTTTCAAGCACACTGTCCCCGTATCCTCACCCCCTTTTTCTGTTTCCGGCCCGGTCATGGCAGCTGGATGCAGGAAGCAACTGTTTTCAGAATAGATATAAACAACAAGAAGGAAATTATAGTTTCGAAAGACGCTCTTTAAGGAGTATTTGCGGACTTACTTTTGCTTTCTGGCGCCTTGAAATATGGCTACGACAGCTCAGTTATTCGAGGTAAGTCTGTTTTTCTTTATTTTTAATATGGCACGGAAGCTGTCACGGTCTGCATTACAGCTTGCAGATTAACTGGTTTCATGGTTCATATAAGTGCATCATTCGCGTGCTGTATTCAATACATAGTTTAGTTTTGACATGATATTGACATGCTACAATGCAGGCAGTAGAGTATCAGTGAGAAGCTAAACACCAACTGTCTCAAAATACTCTGCTGTTCTAATCTGTTTGTGTTGGCAGACGACATGTTCAAGCAAAATTATGAATACAAGCTCTTCAGATTCTCTAGACCAGGGGGTTTTATTCTTTTAGATGCCACGTACCACAAAATATGATCATCCTCGTACCATGGACCCCCATCCTATCATTTAAAAGGCAGCTACTGTTTGTATTTTCATATGTAAAGACACAGTTTATATTGTGAATTAATTAAAGGCAGGGTAGGCGATGTTCCAGATTTTTTTTGTTATGCTGGTTGAAAGTCTCCTCACATCCTGGTAGCAATCTGTAAGTTAAGTGCTCTACATGTTTTATATGTACAGTATATACAGTAAATCATCTGTGAAAGGCGTCGGACCCTAAAATGTTCATCCAATCATTGCATTCGGTCCGATGTCCTACCTGCCTATCAACGTATGTTTTTCCATCAGCTCGTTTCATGATACGCCGAGTTAGACAGACGTCAGTCACCGAGCACCACAACCTAAACACCTTTTACAGTTCCTCCTGAACCAAAACAACAAGATTACGCTGCGTTCACGCCATAACTACTATAATTTGTAAGAGATTGAAACTTGACATTATACTCGGAGTGCAAATTTATCCGTTTTAATGGCAACACTGTCTGTTTAATGGCAGTCAGATGGTACAGGTCAGTCTTCTTTAAGTTGTTTATGTTCATTATTATTGTAATGTTATGTGCTTTGAGATATGAGGTAGTTTAACGCCGTCTCTCGTGATGATTTTGTTTGCTCCCAGCTTTACCATTCATGTGTTTTGGAGGCGTGGCTTTGGAAGGGAGTGAGGGATCTTATGCTTTCAAAGCTAGCTCGCTATTGCTAGCTGCTCCGAAAATTACCTAACCTAACTTTAATATTAGTGGAAAGTATTGTGGAAAATATTTCGTTTTTACTACATTTTTTTTTTTTTACTCACTGCAGTACTGGGCTATATGTATTTTTTTTTTTTTTTACTTTTCTACGCACCCCCTAGCAGCCCCCCTAGACTGTCTTCATATGCAGTCCAGATTATCCTTATTTTATCTTAGCTTATTTATCTTTGCATGTCATTAGCAATTACATTTTTGCTTCTTCATCTTTATCATCTTACCAGGAGCCGTTTGATGCTGATGAGTATATTGAGAGACTGGCATGGAGAACACCTGGAGGAGGTTCCAAAGGAGGTGCGGAGGCGTTTGACCCCAAAAAGTGAGTCACAAAATATTGATGATTGTCAGAAACATACACCACTGGTCATATGTTTTGGAATTCTTGACTTTGATTTTATGTTTCTCATGTTATTAAAAAACCTTTTGATCTAAAGACTTCTACTTAAATGTTTGAAATAAGTTTTGTAGACAAGCATACATTTGCTTATGTGTGAATTTCTTCTTGAAAAGTTGTCTGGGATAGTAAATGAAAGCAAGACGGCCGGTGTAGATGGAAACAATTCCGGTGCTGTGGTGTGTAAAAAGAATCTCAGAATGCACATCATGAAATTGATTAAGACCAGAATGTGCAGAGCTGTAATATAGCCAAAAGTTGGCCATTTTATAGAAACAGAATTATAAGATACTTTTAATTTAACATTTTTTATTTTATTTTAAAAACACATTTTGATAGTGACTGTAGTAGACTGAGACAAAGAGGTGAATGGGATGTGAACAGTTTCATTTGTCTTCTCTTATAGTATTGATTACTATTATTCAAAATGTGGATAATCATAAAGAATGTGTAATGAGGATACAATTTTGACTGAGCATACAGTTTTTAGATTTTATTAATTTTTCGACGCTGCAGCTGTTGAAATATTTATATAAATCCATTTTGCATTTTTTTTCCAAATAAGGGCAGAAATTGAAAAAATAAATGTCTGGCAGATTCTATGCCTTCTGGGCGTAGTTGTACATACAGTGACCAAAAAAGTTGACGCTTAAGCCACATTTCAAGTTTGCTTGAATATTGTTGCATTATAACAAAATATTAAACCAAGTGGTATTTATTTTAAAGAAATGTAACACAAACATTTTTCAAGCAAAACATTTTACAAAAATAAATCAAATTTTTTTTTTAAAATAATAATGAAATAAAAATGTATTATAAATAAAAATAATAATAAATAGTACATTTCAAATAATAAATCAATAGATATATTGTTTAAAATTAATGCAAGTATTTGGGCACTTTCTGGTTGTCCAATGTTGGACAACATGTGGAACATTTAGTTCACCCAAAAAATGAAAATGCTGTCATTATTTACACTGTCATGTTCCAAACCTGTAAGACTTTTGTTCATCTTTGAAACACAAATCAAGATATTTTAATGAAATCTGAGAGATTTCTGTCCCTCCATTGGCAGGCTGTGCAACTACCACTTTGATGCTTCAAAAAGTTCACAAAGAGCTCGTAAAACTAATCCATGTGAATTGAGTTGTTTGGTCTAATTTTTCTGAAGAGACTCGATTGCTTTATATGATGAACAGATTGAATTTAGGATTTTATTCACATTTAAACATTCCTCAACTCACACATCAGTTGTGGTAAACGGAAGCTCGAGCATGTTTGTTTGACGTGCGAGAACCAATGAGGTTCATCATGTTACGCAGCACGTTTGAGCTTCTGCAAGAACCAATGAGGTTTGTTCTCGCGAGTCAAGCAAGTACGGTTGAGTCCCTGATCAATGTTTAGATTTGAATAATAGCTTTTCATCATATAAAGCGATTGAGTCTCTTCATAAAATTTGGACTAAACTCCTTGATAGAAATAGATTAGCTCTTTGTGAACTTTTTGAAGCGTCAAAGTGATAGTTGCGTAGATTGTCAATAGAGGGACAGAAAGCTCTCGGGTTTCATCAAAAAGATCTTCATTTTTGTTCCAAAGATGAACGAAAGTCTTACGAGTTTGGAATGACATGAGGTTGAGTAATTGATGACAATTTTTCATTTTTGGGTGAACTAACACTAATGATGATGAACTACACCTGTGGCTACATTGCTATGAAATCTGTGTGAAGTTCAGGGGAACTGGCTTCAAACATCCACCTTGAGATTACTTTGTTAAATGTAATTAGTAAAGTTTTTTTTTTTTTTTTTTTTTTTAGCAAAAAGGTCTAGCACAATTTATATGCAGATGCCTCTTGGTTTACCACAATGTCACAGATGTTTTTCTAATACAAAGAAATACATTTTTTAGTGTGAAAAGTGAAATGAAACTTTTTCAGTTCCTTTCATAATCATTTTATAGTGTCCACAATCACAACTTGACTATTTTGACAGTCATTTTACTTTCACAGTCAAAAGCATAAAAAAGACATGAAGTTTACTTTAACACACACAGACACACACAGCAAAAGTGCTTTTGACTGCCAGAGCAGAAACATCGCCCCAAATTTTACACCAAGCTCTCAAATAACCGACCATGAAGAGGCTGTTGTGAGCTGGGCAAACCATTGACTTACAAATGATGGGAGAGAACAAATTTGAGTGGAAAAGATGGAGAGGAAAAAGAACTTAAGCTGCCAGCAGCGTTTAGGGAATTACGGTGATATGAGATTATATACTCATCACTTCAGAATGTTTTGCTACCACCCAGAGAATCCAAACTTGCTGAGTTCGAGCTTTTGACTTTGCTGTCCTACAAGTTCTTTGAAATGCAGCTGACGAAGCTTTTGGTTGTATGTGTGAGGTTTCCTAAATATTTGCGCACACACACACACAGCACGAAGAGGCTCTTTTTATGAAGAACCACAATTTATGGTAACAGGCCATTAGCTGATTTGCTGCCGAGGTAAGTGCTTATGTGATCTTGACAAATAAGATGCTCTCCCTGGATGCTTTTTCGCTTCACAGTTTGAGATCCGTCTATTTGGAGAAGTATTCATGAACGATAAATGAATCTCAGCCCAGCATATAATGATCCCTGCCATTGAGCTGGTTTCGGGATCTGGGAACAGAGCTTCAGGCATTTTCATATTATTGGTCAGGTTTTATATAACATTTCCTCACAGATTACATGCTAGCCAAGCTAACCTAATTTGGGACGTAAGCCTGCATCTCGCAAATCAGACTGTGAAATGGATCCTTTTTCAGCGTTCTGTGGACACAAAGAGTGTTCTTTGGAGCGCTCATCGAAGCCTCCGCTCTAGTGTACTTTTCATGTATGAAAATGACTCCAGACTTCTGGCTAAAATCTACTTTGTCAGTGATTTTCTTTCATTTGGCTAGTACCTAGTATCAACATAGCCCATCTGCACACATTTTAACATAAAGTGAGATCCAGAAGTTTGTGACCACTTGTGAAAATGCTTCTTTTGTTAATTTCTGTATCTTTTTTTCACCAATTATATTGTCAGCACAACGTTTTGATTGAAGCTTAAAAAAATGTAAATGAATTTCAGAATTTTCTGAGCATTTTCCTGCACATATCTGTAAATCCTGATGATTTGATTGTTATCCCGCATGATTTGAGAATGTTAGGAAGAGAATTATTATTAAAAGAAGAAAATCTGATCATCTGTACAAATGAATTTACATTCAAATTTGGTTATGACCTAGAAAGGGTACAGAATAGTACAGAATATTTGTTCATTTTACATTCTTTCAGATTTTACAAAACCTAAAACCTGTTTATTTCCATGTTTGAAAAAATAAAATCCAGATTTTCTTTGATCTCTTTTTAACTCCACTAAATCAATAGAATTGGTAATGATTAATAGCATTTAAGTATGTTAATTTTATTAATTTTATGACCATATCCACACAAAGAGGAATATAACATGGAAAACAGGACTTTCCTTGCTCTTTTACAATAAGTGTTCATACTGTTCAAAAGAACAGCGCTTATTTGAAATATATATATATATTTTTGTAACAATGTAAAAAAAGTCTCTACTGTCACTTTTAACCTATTTAATGCATTCTTGCTGAATAAAAGTTTTAGTTTTTTTAAACAAGTCTTATTGACTTGAACAGTAGTGTAATTTTATATCACAAAATTAAGCTTAAAAACAGGTTGATCAGTATGTTTCAGTTAATATGTCAAAACTACCAGCGCTCTAACATATGACCACCCAGATTAATCAACCCTCCTTTTCTAGCATACACACAGTCCATGCATTCTCAATAATAAAGACAGCAAGCATATAATATCATCCATTACAAAGCAAACATAAATGTTTAAGCCTACTTGCAAGGCTTATGTTGAAAGTATATAATAATAAATTATAGTAGTAATATTGCATCACTATGTAGTTTATGCATGTAGTGAATGAACAGCACACTTACAAGTTTTAAAATACAGAGGTGTTGTGAAACTAAATTGGGTTTTTGCTGCAAGAAGCCAAGAATGACATTATAAGTGGACTTCAGGGAGAAAAATAAATACTATAGCAAGCAAGCAAATTTATTTATATAGCACAACGATTATCATACGATTCAAGAGCCATATATATTTGAGTATCATTGGCATAACTATGGTAGTTAATGTTGTTGTTCTGTAGAATTTGGCCTAGAGGTAGCATATAGAGATTGAACAGAAGCGGTCTGAGAACTGATCCCTGTGGAACTCCACATGTCATAGCCACCCTATCAGATTCATAATTACCAGCGGTGACAAACTACCTCTGCCCATCTAGGTACGATCTGAACCAATCAAGTACTGTCCCGGAGAGTCCTACCCATTTTTCCTGTTATTTTATCCAGCAGCTCATTTGCATTTAAAGGGACATACACAAAAGCGGTGCGTTTTTGCTCACCCTCAAAAAGTGACATTTTTAACATGCTATATAAAAATATATGTGGGGTATTTTGAGCTAAAACTTCACATACACACTCTGGGGACATCAGAGACTTATTTTACATCTTGTGAAAAGGGCATTATACCACCCCTTTAATGTTTTTAAAACATTTAAAATGCTTGTCAAGTCAGAAATTGTGTTTTGCCGCCTGCAGCTCTTTAATGTCATGTCTTTGGTTCCAGGTTGCTGGAAGAGTTTGTGAACCACATTGAGGAACTAAAACTGCTGGATGAAAGAATCCAAAGGAAGGTGGAGAAGTTGGAGCAGCAATGCCACCGGGAAGCCAAGGAGTTTGCCCACAAGGTCCAAGACCTGCAGAGGAGCAACCAAGTCAGTGGCCTTTACATTTTTGCATTTTTTTTTTCAAAAGACAAGGAGCTTTAAACCATTTGGATAACCTTGTGTTACTTTACCATCAATTACATGTATCAGTATAACCTTCTCTTTCTTTTGTATGCTGTTTCAAAGGTAGCTTTCCAGCACTTCCAGGAGTTAGACGAGCATATCAGTTACGTGGCCACCAAGGTGTGTCACCTGGGAGATCAGCTGGAAGGAGTCAATACACCAAGACAGAGGGCAGTGGAGGCTCAGAGACTCATGACATACTTTAACGAGTTCCTGGATGGAGAGCTGCGTAGTGATGTCTTCAACAATCCTGACAAGGTCAGATTTAGATAGACTGCCTGGTAATACTACATCAGAAGTACTCGACTTAAAAATCCAGGAAGCCACATTAAAACCACAAATGATACAGAGGGCTGAAATCATATATTATTGTTTCTTTTTCTGTGTAAAAAAAGTCAGTTTCAGGTCTGTTTCATTCTAAATGTAGCTACATCATTCAGAATCATGGACATGATCTGAGTGAATTCAATTTATGTGTGGCATCAGTCATAAAACTAGGTTGTACATGAATGTCATCTTTTGAGGATAGAAGTTAATAGTGTTTTAAGTTAATGCATGTATGGCAGGATGTGATTCCATAAATCATCCAAAGCCTGGTTTATGTTTGACACATTTGTACAATGCACTGTGCCCATCTTACATTCTTCCCTTCTTTGTCATCATCATTTGTAGTACAATTGATCATGCCATTTTGGATGATGCCTAGTTATGCATGTATAACGAGCTCACGTCAGAGTCCGGTTGCACCAACTGTGCAAAAGTTACAACTTATTCATATAGCTTATTCACTTCTAAATATTTTGCTCCACAACAGGACTTTCTAGACAGTGGTCTATGTTGAGGTTGTAACCAAAGCAATTGTTGCAACCAAAGCTGCTAAAATTTTGTTCAAACTCAACAGTGATGCATACCGCTATAATGAATGCCTGAGGCTAGTATATGTGGCCTGCTTAGATGTTGGTGTACGCCAACTTAATTGGAAATGACACTTTATAAGTTAATCTCTCAAGTCACTCGTAATGATGTGACCAAACCTGGGTGGCAAGTCTTACATCTTCTGAAGCTATTAGCATAAGGCCACCAACAAGCTTCTAGAGAGCCATGTGGGAATATACCCGCCAGACTTTTCAATATTTCTCAAGACGTACACGCCTCCAGAAGAGAAAAGAGGGGAAGTGAGAGGAGCTGCCGGTGAAAGGAAAGGGAAATGGAAGGAACGAAGGCTGGGTTAATCCCTGTGAAAGGGAGGGCCAGGCCCAGGCAGCGAGGAGACAAGCGCCGGTAAAACCCCCTACTGCTGGGAAACGGCTACATCACTTACATGGGATTTAGCTAATCTTAGCTGGGGGACAGATACTTAGAAAACCTCAGCGAGGAGAGCGGAAAAGGGATGGATCCACCTCACGGGAGCACAATAATGATGTTAGCTGAGGCAGGCAGGAAAAGGAGAGTAGGAACAGAGGATATGTGGACAGCAAGGCCTTTCGGATCGCCTTTTTCTTCTCCTCGTCTATCGGGCGAGAGGTGGGGGGTTCTTGTCGGGGTCCTGTTTTTGCCTAGACCTCCTACCTGCCTATGGGGACAGATTATGGGAGGTGATTTACTGAGGGATTAGCCATTGTCCATTCTTAATAGTCATGAGTGAACTTAAGATGTTGGCTGGGCAGCGGTTGACGGACAGGGGTTAAGGTCTGATGCTGATGAGGTTCAGGTGTGCAGGGCTGAGCTAACTCTTATCATCCTCATGGTGGACGAGAAGAGCGAGGGACGCAAACGGGAGGGAAAGATTTACCATAGGCTGATCCCTAGATTTAAGGGTGCTGCCTCTGGCCTCTGTTCGTGTTTTGAGGTGTCTGTCCTGTAATGACCATTTTCCGTCTCTCACCACAGTCTCTTCTCATCCCAAACAGATAAAAGAAGCTGCAGACATCATTCAAAAGTTGCACCTGATAGCTCAGGAGCTGCCGTTTGATAGGTAAGCGACCTGCAGATGGTGTCTTGGCCATATTGGAGGTTTGGGGTACGGCATACGGCATGGTGTGCTGTACAAGAGATCATATAAACAGTCAGCATGTTAACACCAAAATATACTTCGGTTTTTAACGTGTATGCTTAGCATGTGCGTACAGCTGTATGCATTGGCTTTTTGAAAGTTAACTCCATTGGATAATGTGTGTGATCTCGTTCGATATATGCGCACTAGAAAGTTTAATCCTTGTCGAGTGTCTGCACCGTAGTGTTGTCAAAAAATACCGACTTCGGTACCATGTCAGAACTGGAATATTAAAAATGTGACGCTTAGAGCGCTGTTGAGCGGAATCGTAAACACCTCTGATTGCCCATTGTACTCGCGTGCTCATCAGATATGTCTGTGATTGGCTACAATTATTAGCGCTTCAAAAACATGTTGAAAATATACATCAATGAGGCTCTTCACCGAGCGCTTACACAGATACACACGGGAGCGGTCCGCTGATAGACGGCTGTCTGTGCTTTCAAACGCTCCCGCTCCCGCTTTCAAAACACTTTCGAACACTTCAATGTGCTCTCAAACGCTCCCCTGCGTTGATCATTGTAGCCAATCACAGACATATCCGATGAGTGCTTGAACACAATGGCCAATCAGAGGTGTTCAATCCAATCAGTCCGCTCAGCAGCGCTCAAAGCGTCACATTTTTTAAATTTCAGTCGGTACTTTTGACAACTCTACTGTACCGTTTCTCTCCAGAAGAAATAAGCGCTTGTCAACATGGGTGTTTACTGTTCCGGTATTGTTTGTTTCTCTTCCATTTATTTTTCGACAGTAAAACAACAGCCTGAGCTAGTGTTGCCACAAATAAAATAAAAAAATTGTGCAAAAATGTAATGTGTGTGTGCACTGAGCAAACACAGTTTGCACCATGAGAGAAATATTAGCTTATTACGTCACACGGCCTTACCTATGTTTCACCCGTTTCAATTGAAACGGGCCCCGCCCTTCGAGGGGGCCCCAAGAGACCAGTAAAATCTCATTCAATTTCTCCGTAGGATATTGATTTTCAGCCATAATGTCTAAACCATTCAAGGTAGATTGACCACGAGCTACGAGGTTGTGAAATGAAAGTTTCTGCTCCTTTAAAAGCCACAAGCTACGAAATCAACCTTGTTATTTGCAAAACACTGACGTCTCTGATTGGTCGAACTCGCGGTTACCATGGCGACGTTAACCACTCCCGTGAACGGCTTAAGCGATCTGAAGTATAATATCGGTAGTTTATGTATTTACACCTTTGCCTTTTTTGCCGTTAGGTTAAAATGTTATTTTGAGCAGAAAAATAATTTTAAGAGGAAATGAAACGTACATATGCCAGTGGTGCTGAAACACGAAAGATATCAGACAACAAAAGAAAAGCTTCATTCAGTCTACCATAAGTGAAGTTACCCTGCGTGAAAAAAGGGCGAGGCTTATTCCAACGTAAAACGCTGTATAATTGTATAGTTTTAATCAAATAAGGTTGGATTATTTCTATGTTGAGCTGCCTGTTCATGAAGCTGAAAGTGCACGTAATAAAATAATATACCATTGATGCAAACCAACAGGAATCATTGCTTTTTCTCTGCTCTATTATGTTTATGTTTTATGTGGGTAGGGCCCCACATTAGTTATTGAAACGGGCCCCCAGATGCTAAAGGCCGCCACTGACTGTGCGTGACCCTAGTCTATGCGGAAAAAAACCAAGTATAGTTTGGGCTCAGTGCTGAAAAGTAAGTTATGCGCAACTAGCTTCACCAAATGCAGTTGCAAAAATATGCGCACACAAAAACAACAGGTTTCCAAACACTGCCTCCATTTGTCTTTGGTCATATTTGAAAATACAACCGAATGCTCTTCAAAGCAAGCAAATGTATTAATGCATTGGCCAAGAGTCAAGACATAACAAGTGAAAACTTTTTCATTTACAAAGTTTGTTTTGACTGTGTCTGAGATCTAAGCAAAAAGTTCAAACATGTTTCTTGTGATATTCTCTCACTGATCATGAATGATGTTAGTCTGAAAACAGATTTGTTTTAAATTCCCCCTGTTCTTCTCTCTTTCCCATGCTTGTTTTCCTCGTTATGACCCTGTTCAGATTTTCTGATGTCAAGGCCAAGATAGCAAGTAAGCAGCAGTAAACTAAACAAGACAATGTTATTTACCCATCTGCTAAATATGCAGCGTTAACATGCGCCCTGTGTTTGCTTGAAAGGTAAATATCATGACCTTGAGCGTCAGTTAATCCAGGAGTTCACCGCAGCTCAGCGACGGGGAGAGATTGGACGCATGCGTGAGGTGGCAGCAGTCCTGCTACATTTTAAGGTTTGAAGGGAGATACAATGAGAGCCCTCAAGATCATACCAGTTTATTTTGGACATGTGTTACATGTATAATATGAAATGTATTATTTCTTATCTTATTTGTTGTAGGGTTATGCCCACTGTGTGGATGTCTACATCAAGCAATGCCAAGAGGTATGTTCGCTGTTTCTGTTCTTTATATCCATCAAGAGTAAACTTGATTTTAGGCTCAATGTTTGTTTTGTTATATCACCTTGGTCTTTTGGTGTTTGTAGGGAGCGTATATACGGAATGATGTATTTGAAGACATTGCTGTTCTGTGTCAGCGGGTTAATAAGCAGGTTGGGGAGGTCTTCTGCAGTCCAGAGACTGTCATGGCCAAACTGATTCAGAGCATCTTTGAGAACAAGATACAGGTACATAACACAGTTATTAGTGCTGCTTGCTAAGCCTATTGCTGCTTTGGGTTATGATATGAACAAAGCAAATTTTACCTGGGTACGATAAAAAAAAATCTGTTGACTTAAAGAAGGAAAAGGATCCATACCAAGGGAATGTAATATAGTACTTACTTTGGGTTGAGGCAATAAACATTATAAGCATTATAGCTGTGACTTAATAAAAAATATTCTTTATTCAGAACAATCTAGTTGCATCTTGCCATTTGTACTGCGTAGTGTTGTTACAATATCAAATGTCAGTAGTCTGTACCTGTACAAGTAACATTTCTTGGTTTTCTGTACCAATTTGTGTACCAAAGCAAAAACTTTTGTAACACACTGCCTTTAAATAAATATAGGTATATAAGTTCATTATTAATGCTAATTATTTTTAATAAGTAAATAATACATTAAAACATAAGCATTTAGCCTTTTTTCAATTATATAAACATTGTTTTGAATCTATTATTTATATTGTGGTTGGTTATAATGAAAGCGCACAGAATGCCTCTGATTGGCCATTTTTATTTTTGTGTGTAATTTGGCATAGCTTACAAGAGCGCACGCAAAAATATGTGTGGGAGTCTATAAAAGCTGCTGCCTATCAACAGGTTCTGCATCGGGTCGGTATTAGCAATACTACAGAAAGGATTGAATTGTTAAATTTGTAACATTTCAGAATCAAGTATTAGTGTTGTCAAAAGTACCGGTACTTCGGTACCGTATTTCACACATTACCTTTATTCACCTGTCAGATTAGGTTATGTAAATATAGAGCAAACCCAGAAATAGACACACTTGGTATATCTCATTTTTAAATAACCAAATTGGCTCAAATGGTCCTTTTTATGATTTCAGGCTCATGTTAAAGAAAAACTAGATGAGACCCGCAACTCTGATGTGGAGCAATACCTCAAGAACCTCTATGACCTCTATACACGGTATCAATCAGTTTTTCGTTATTATTATTTAATTATTATAATTGTTCACTTTTGCTCTCATCAAACACCTTTTTTTCTGAAATGGTTTAAAGTCTCACATGTTTGTGCTTTACTGAACACCGGTTTTGATCTGTTATAACCCGTTTGTTTTTAGGACAACGGCACTGGCTGCTAAACTCACAGACTTCAACTTGGGCTCAGACAAGCACACATTTCTATCTAAGCTGATAAAGAATATCTTCTCCTGTTATCTGGAGAGCTACATAGACATGGAGCGACAATATCTGCAAAACCGCAGCGGCATGATTCTTCAGCGCTATTATGACTCTAAGAACCACCAAAAACGCCCTGTAGGCACTGGAAGGTGAGAAACTGTTGGTTTGTTGTTGTTTTTTTCTTTCCATTCTTTTTCCAAAACTACTTTGAAAAAGTTTCTTCTCCTCATTTTGACAGTATCCAGGAGCTGAAAGAGCGGATCAGACAGCGCACTAACCTGCCGCTGGGACCTAGTATTGACACACATGGAGAGACTCTCCTCTCACAAGAGGTTGTTGTCAACCTGCTACAGGAAACCCGGCATGCCTTTGAAAGATGCAACAAGGTATAGGAATCTTCAGCGCTGATTTGTTACAAAATGCTTGAATTTTATAATGTCATTCTTAGTTGGAAGTTGTGGGCCATAAACATCGATCTACTTTCTGTCTTTGTTACAGTTGTCGGATCCAGCAGATCTACCAAAAAATGCCTTCTCCATTTTCCTGATTTTGGTGGAGTACCTGTGTGTGGACCATATAGACTACGCTCTTGAGATTGGGCTGTCAGGTATGGCAAACACCGTCTAAAACATGAAACAGTTGAGATTATACTACACAGTATGTGAGCAACCATTTTCATTCAGCGCATGACCTCCATTGTACAGTGTTACTCATTCCTACACCTGCAGTTTATGCTATTTAAATTCTTCTTATGAGTATAGAAATTGTAATTACAGGTTTGTTTAAATCAAGGTTATTATCGTAAACTAAACTGAAGACTAATTTTAAAAAACTGAAACTAAAATAAATGTTAATGACTCTGAAATGAACTAAAATTATTATTTAATATTTAGTTTTGTTTATTCCCACCTGCTACTGTAACATAAACATGCCACTAGAGGACGATAATACACAGGCCTATTGACATGTTTGTGTAAGCAACAGCAATGTGAGAATCACTACTGTCATGGAGTAAACCCAACCAACAAGGAACTTTAAAATTGTGTTTTTTTTAAGCCTGCTAAAGTAATGGAAATTATTAAAATACTGAAATGTCTATTGTGGATATAAATTTTGTAGTTATGTTCTGCTCTAACATATCTAAGCGGATAAATATTGCAATTGTATAGAGTTAAACTTTCTTGAAAACCACAGTAATGTGTAATTGTATGCACAAAAAAAGTGTTGGGGTGGTTCTTTTTTAAATTGGTCAAACCAGTTCACAAGATTGTTTGAATTAATCAGTCTGAAATTGAATCAAAATAAGTTTTAATTCTTATTCATAAATTCTTTAAATAAATTAATATCCAAATGAGAGGTCATACTGTAGAAATGTATCAAAACTTGTGGGAACTGTTATTTACAAATTTATAAAAGATACTACATACGATCACATTACACAAATGTATCTTTTCCCCCATTCGTCATTCATCTCTTAATATAAAAAATATTTAAAAAATTATAATGTACTGAAAAACTTACCAACAAAAACTAAACTAAATTGCAGTGAGAAATTGAAATTAAAACGGTAATGTGTGTGATTAGCTTTGTGTAGTAAATTGTAACCGCCAAACTTATTTGGAATTATGTGTAAGTGAAACTGTAGTGCTTTGCATTCACAAATTATGTCAAGAGACTCAATGAGCGTTTATTTGAAGTGTTGGCATACAAGCCACAATGTTTGGAAAACTCTAAAGTCAGAGCTCAAAATGAAAACACTGCGTTTCCCACTAAGATATTGCAATTCATGTGGTAAAATCCAACGGCAGCATTAGTTCCAAGTCTAAACAAACACCTTTGCACCAAATTAAATGAATGAATCTGAAGTGGACTGAACATGACAGTGCTCTCTTATTTGTCTTTCGACTTGCACAGCCATCCCATCGGCGGATGCCAAAAATGCCAACCTCTACTTTTTGGATGTGGTTCAACAGGCCAACACAATCTTTCACCTCTTTGATAAGCAGTTTAACGATCATCTTATGCCTCTTATTAGGTGAGTTTGACTGACTTTGCTTCCCTAGCTTCTGACTGTTTGTCTCTGCGCCCGCTGACTGGTGACCTTTGTTTGAACTCTGACCCCGGTAGCTCCTCTCCTAAGTTGACGGAGTGCCTGCACAAGAAGAAAGAGGTGATCGAACAGATGGAGGTGAAGCTGGACACCGGGATTGATCGGTTGGTTCATAGCTCTGTTTGAAGGAGCTCCTTTCTTAAAGTCTTTCACTTCACCATTGCCATTAAATGCAATTTTTGTGACATTTTCTAATATTTCCTTGTTTTTAGGACACTAAATTGCATGATAGGCCAGATGAAGCAAATCCTGGCGACTGAACAGAAGAAAACTGACTTCAAGCCAGAAGACGAGAACAATGTCATGATACAGTACACTACAGTAAGATCTTAGAAAAGATCACTTTGTGACAGTGAAAAGATCACTTTGAAAACCTTAGAAAGATTTTTAGTAGCCATATTCTGCCCGATTCTACTGTGCTTAATGTCATTTTTCCTGTGCTCCTTCTTCAAGGCATGCTCAAAGGTGTGTGCCTATGTGAGCAAGCAGGTGGAGCGTGTGCGGAGGTCCATGGATGGTAAGAATGTGGACACGGTTTTGACCGAGCTGGGTGTGCGCTTCCACAGGCTGATCCATGAGCACCTGCAGCAGTTCAGCTACAGCTCCATGGGTGGCATGCTTGCTATCTGTGACGTGGCAGAATACCGTCGCTGCGCCAAAGATTTCAGGGTAAGGAGAGGTCAAAGTTTTATTTATAATGCCTTTAAGGGATAGTTCACCCAAAAAAAGAAAAGTCCATCATCATTTACTCACCCGCATATCGTTCCAAACCCGTAAGACTTTCGTTCATCTTCGAAACACAAATGAAGTGAAATCTGAGCGACTTCTGTCCCTCCATTGACAGCTACGCAACTATGATGCTTCAAAAAGTTCATAAAGAGATTGTAAAACTAATCCATATGAATTGAGTGGTTTAGTCCAAATTTTCTGAAGAGACTCGATCGCTGTATATGATGATCAGATTGAATTTAGGCTTTTACTCACATATAAGCATTGATCAGGGAACATAAACAGAAGCTCAACCGAACCTGCTTGATGCACGAGAATGAACCTCATTGGTTCTCGCACATCAACATGCTTGAACTTCCATTTATTATAACTGATTTGTGCATTGATGAATGTGTTTATGTGAATTAAAGCCTAAATTAAATCTGTTCATCATATAAAGCGATCGTGTCTCTTTGGAAAAGTTGGACTAAACCGCTCAATTGGTTAGTTTTATGATCTGTTTACTATCTTTTTGAAGTAGTGGTAGTTGTGTAGCTGTCAATGGAGGGTCAGAAAGCTCTCATATTTCATCAAAAAGATCTTCATTTGTGTTCTGAAGATGAACGAAAGTCTTACAGGTTTGGAACGACATGAGGGGGAGTAATTAATGACAGAATTTAAATTTTTCTGTGAACTAAATAATAAAATCTGAACAATTTCTGTACCTTCTTTAAAAGTACATTCCTTCTAAACTTTGACACTTCAAAAACAGGGGGGTTTCATGACACTTTAAAGACTTGGTAAAAGTAATCCATATGAATCAAGCCGTTTAGTCAAAATCTTCTGAAGAGACACAATCACTTTATATGATGGCTTTTATTCTCATATAAACATGGATCAGTGCACATATGTAGAGGTCATCAAATATGGTCAACTTTTTTGTTAAACCAAAAAGTAAAGCTGTGTATATAGTTTGCTAAATGAATGAATATAGATGATATAATGATACAAATAATAATTACACTGTCTACCAGTCGAAAGTTTAGAATCGTTAAGATTTATTGGTAGCACTTTACAATAAGGTTTCATTAGTTAACATTATTTAATGTATGACCTAACAATGAACGAAACATTTGTTTCAAGATGTATTAATCTTTGTTAATGTTAGTTACTAAAAATACTGTCGTTTATTGTTTGTTCATGTTAGTTCACAGTGCATTAACTAATGTTAACAAACACCAACTTTTGATTTATTATATATTAACAATTTATTAGTAAATGTTGAAATTAACATTTAATTTAGATTAATAAATGCTGTAGAAGTATTGTTCATTCTTAGTTCATGTTAGCTACAGTTAACTAATGAAACCGTATCAATTTATTATTGTTCTGAAAAAAAGTCTCTTATGCTAATTATTTAAAAAAGTGCCATTTATTCCTGTGATGCAAATCTGAATTTTCAGCATCATTACTCCAGTCTTCAGTGTCACACGATCCTTCAGAAATCATTCTAATGCTGATTTACTGCTCAAGAAACATTTCTTATTATTATTATTAGTTGAAAACAGTTGTACTACTTAATATTTTTGTGCAAAGCATGATTAAAAAAAATATATATATATTTGCAGGAACATTTGAACAAAGTTCAAGAGAATAGCATTTCTAATTTATGCAAGATTATAAAATGTTTTTGCTGTCACTTTTTATCAATTTAGTGTGTCCTTGTTGTATAAAAGTGTTCATATCTTTCTTTTCGTTTTTCAATCTTACTCCCCAAACTTTTCCACAACATTGATAAGAAATGTTTCTTGAGCAGTAAATCCGCATATTAGAATGATTTCTGAAGGATCATGTGACACTGAAGACTGGAGTAATGATGCTGAAAATTCAGCTTTGACATCACAGGAATAAAGTACATTGTAAAATATATTACAATGGAAAACAGTTATTTTAATACTATTTCACAGTATTACAGCTTTTACTATATTTTTGTTCAAATAAAAGCAGCCTTGGTGAGCAGAATAGATGTCTTTCAAAAAAAAAATCCCTACAATTGGTTGCTAAAACTAAAAGTGTCATCAAATTAGTCAACAATATTCAATTACCTTTTTTTTTTTTTTTTATCTGTCAATTAAAAAATATCGAAATGCCTAATAATGAGGAAATTCTAATACTTTCTTTCCCTTTCAACCAACCAGCAAGTAGCAAATGATGCAGCTAAAATTAAACTTCTAGCTTCAAAGTATTTTCATGTCACATTTTTAAGATAAATTGGACAGTTTTTATTTCTTCAGATATATTAGGCATGCCCTAAAGCAGTGGACTAACAGCTGCATCTACACCCTCCACAGGTCCCTCTGGTGCTCCAGCTGTTTGACACGCTTCACGCTCTGTGTAACCTCCTGGTCGTCGCTCCGGACAACCTCAAACAGGTGTGCTCTGGAGAGCAGCTGACCAACCTGGACAGGAACCTCCTCCACGCTTTCGTTCAGCTGAGAGTAGACTATCGCTCCGCCCGACTGGGCCGGCATTTCAGCTAATGACTGACGGGGCTGTCCCATCACCGCACTGCCGTCCGTTCAGCGCTGCCAGAAACACAAGTGGCCAAACTAGAGTGTCTTTGTCAATGATTCAGTGTGGAAATTAAACTTTGTGTTTAAAGAACAAAAGAGCAACTGTTTCAAAGCCCAACACGTCCCAGGTTGCTCCGTTTTAAGTTAACCCTTTTTGTTCTACATGCACGTTTTAATGCGAGCATATAGCGTTTCATCTCAGATTTGCTCATATTTTGTTCATGATTTTAAACATTTCAGAGGATAAATAAGAGTAGATGGATGTTTTGTACATTTTCCTTGTGTTTCTGGCTTCTAATGGAGAGAGGATGATGGTAGATGAACTGAGGTGGACCACTCGAATGGACTTGGGTGGTCAAGAGACTCCATTTTTATTTGCTTTTATTTTGATTATGCCAAATCCATCCTCTTCTGGGACGAAAGGGGCGGTCCAGCACGCTGCTCTGGATCAATGAGTTTGTCCAGCTCATTTCACTCAGGCTCTTGTGCACACATAGGGCTTCACAGAGATGACAGTTACTGTTTTGAGTTGAACAATGCAGGTGTTATACAAATGTTCATTTCATTTCCTAAATTAATGTCACACTCTTACAAATACAATTGTTTTAAACACGAGTACATGAACTAGTTTAGTTTTAAGATTCATTTAGAGCTGTTTAATGCTGAATCCTGTCGATGAAATTACATTAGAATGGCGTTTTAATTTCTGGCTGATTTACATGCAAACTTCCAAAGCTGGCCTTTCCCCGTGTGCTCAATGCTAAAATAATAACCTCATACATGAAATACAATGTTTCTGAGATGTAAATGATAATTATTGCATCTGTGCTAACAACCCTGCTGCTCACTAAAATCAAAGTAATATTTGCATACACTCATATAGCATTCACATAATTAATGAAGAAATGATTGGCGCACAGCACAATATGAGGCAAACAGCTTTGAGAGTTGTATGAGGTTTCAAAGGGCTGAGGTCACATGGTGTCGGGATTTTGCTCTGATTCTTTCTTTGCTTTTTGTATTCTGACATTGTATGGTCACAAACTATTAATCCAAGAGAGTTTCATCTGACAGGGCAGGGGTGTGTTGAATGCAGTTATGTCATATGACTAGTTGAACTAACCCTTAACCTCTGTTGAAGAGGCAGGGGTCACGATCTGTGACCTCTAGGCATGACCTAGGTGTGCGAGTGGTAGAAAGGATTAGGTGATTCTGTTATACTGTACTGATTTCAAACATGAATTTATGTCAAAATGATGCTACATATGAGCTGATTCCTCTGTACAAGCTGCTCATTATAATCAGTTATTTCCATAAATAAAAAGTGTGAAACAATGAGACAAGTTTCATTGAGGGTGGCCTCAAAGCCCATGCAGTAGCCTACATATTTCTGTCCTGATCAAGTGTTTATTTATTTCATAAAATATGATCCAAACTATTATTAAACTGAAAATGTTACAGGTTGAAAAAAAAACTCAAATCAAGGACGCATAATGGTGTATTTTAAATCATTTCACTACTTTGGTTTAAGCAGAATAAGCAGATGTTGCCATTTTACAGTGTCCCACAGGTGCTATGCATTCATTTCTAAAATGAAAAATTGGCTGTTTATTATGAAATTTTACGGGTGTTTCTTGATTTTTCTCTCCTTAGCTTCAAATTATTCCAGGCATGTATTTCTTGGAATATTGTCGTAATTGGTAATTAATTAAACTTTTAATAGAAATATTTTCCCTCTGTATTTTAAATTTGGAATAATTTAGAAACATGAATTAAAAAATGTATTTACATCACAAGATATACCGGTAATGAAAATTTAAAATTACATGAAGTTAGATTTTTAGAATTTCATTTTCAGAATTTCATTTTAGAATTTCTCATATTTTTATGTTAATATTATTGTTCCACTCTAGTCACCTACCTTCACTCTTAAAAATAAAGGTTCAAAAAAGGGGTTTTCATTGCGATGCCATTAAAGAAACATTTTGGGTTCCCCAAAGAACCTTTCAGTGATCAGTTCTTAAAAGAACCAAGTGTGAAATACATTTTAATAATCTAAAGAACTTTTTTTTTCCACTATAAAGAATCTTTTGGGGAGTGGAAAGGTTCCCTGAATGTCGTTATAACCTTTATTTGGTGTAGTGTCAAGTGAAGGCACTCTAAAAAAAAAGGTTCTTTATTGGCATTGATGGTTCCGTGATATTGCTCAAAGGGTTCTTTATCTTGAAAAAAGGTTCTTTAGATTATTAAAATGTTCTCACATTAAAGGTATAGTTCACAAATGAAAATTATCTCACAATTTACTCACCCTCAAGCCAACAGGTGTATATGACTTTCTTCTTTTAGCCAAACACATTCGGTAAAAATAAAAAATATCCTGGCTCTTCCCAGCTTTATAATAGGAGTGAATGGTACCTTAGAGTACCATCATAAAAGTAATCCATATCTCCAGGGGGTTTAAATAAAGGCCTTCTGAAAATATCCATATTTATAACTTTATAAACCATAATCGCTGGCTTCCGGTAATGGCCGTCCTCGAGTCGAGTTCCGGCGGAAGAGTGACCTCTGACCCGACGCATGCTGAAGTTATAAAGTTATAAATATGGATATTTTTCTTACAAAAACGCATCACTTCGCTTTAGAAGGTATTTTATTAACCCCCTGGAGCCATCTGGATTACTTTTATGATGGATAGATGCACATTTTTAGGCTTAAAAAAAGGTGCCATTCACTCCCATTATAAAGATTGGAAGAGCCCGTATATTTTTTAATATAACGCCGATTGTGTTTGGCTGAAAGAAGAAAGTCATATACACCTAGGATAGCTTGAGGGTGAGTAAATGATGGACTAATTTTCATTTTGGGTGAACTAACAATAATTATAAGTTATATGGCATCACTGTGAAACCCTGTTTTGAAACCCTTTAAGAGTTTGCACTAAGTGTAGCCAATAATCAATAAAGTTAATGAGTTTTATGTATTTAGATGTTCTTCTTCAAACAGACTCAATAGATCTTTGAAAAAATTAGACTCTTCTCAAGGACTCATCGTGTATTCTTAACCATGAAGGTTTAGGGTAATATCTTCCCAAAGGAGGAAAATTATTCCCGCGACTTAAAAGACAAAATGGGAGAAAACTGCAAAGCTTAACCACCCAGCAGTGTTTAAGATGTGTGCGGTCGTCACGGCCAGGGAAGGCCGAGAGAGATAGAAACGCTCCAGAGCTGAACTGAGCTTCTGTTTCCACCACAGTGTGCCGTTTCTACAATGGTAAACAGGCAAAGTTAAACAGCACTATTAATTAGGCTAATATGAATATGATCACTGCCAGGGAAATTCAATTCTCTCAGCCCTAATCACAACTGGATAGCTTGTAAAAAATATTTTGTTAGGCCCTGGTGCAAACAGCGTGGCCTTTTCCAAACATTTGAGAACTATTTGTTTTGCATGGCGATTAACGCTTTGCTCGTAGCGCGGGAAGCGGAGGGGCACGATAACCGTTGAGAGACGGCTCCCGCGGGAACGGCTGACTCAGGGCGAGTGTGTGAACGCAACGTGGACGCTGCTGTTGTTTATGGAGGCCTGTGTGTGTGTTTGAGCAGGTGGCGAGGATTAGCGGTGCTGTCAACACTGAACGCTGGATAAAGCCTCTGCTCACCCTTTCCTCAGTCTGCTCATTAGAGCTCATCATTTTACCATTTCACTCTGACACACATCTGAAAAGGTAAGGTTTGTTTTGGGGAAGGAACACGTTCACACTCACAGACGTATCCTCATGTGGAATGATGATCTTTCTCCAGTTGTGGATCATCCAAAAGATGTTAAAAGTTCAACTTGCAACAATGCACTTAAATAATACAAAAATAAAAACTTTCAAGGACAACGCTCTATTTACACTAAATGTTTAACGGTTTTGAAATAAGTAACGTTATGGTTTTTTTTTTTTTTTTGCATGTAGTTTTTTTTCTTACGTTACATTACGGTTTTATAGTAGGCTAGGCAATAACAACACAGTGCTAAGGCCTTAAATGGAAGTTCACCCATAAATTGATTTTTGTCAATTTAAATGCCATAAAGTCATTCTCAACTTTCGTTCATCTCCAAATGAAGATCTTTTTGGATGAAATCTGAAAGCTACTACCGCTTTGATGCTTCAAAAAGTTCATAAAGAGATCATCATTTCTGAAGATACTTGATCGCTTCGTATAATTCGGCTTTTTTATTCACATGAATCAAATCAAAGATAGTTTAAGCCAGAGCCATAGAGAAAGAGTTGCGACACTCCATAGACAGTATAAGAAGTGGACAGAGCCATCTCATTGGAACTCAGTTGAGACAGTTGAAGCCCATTTTTAGCGATTTCTGAGCACTTCCGTTCCTGACGCGCAGACTCAAACCGACTCAAACTAAGCTTGATGACGTGAGCAACCTGTCTGACAGACGTTACTCTTCTAGTAGCTGTGCGTGAAAATTGCCAACGTTAATCTTGCAGAGACGGGGAACTTGAGCAAAGAGTTCTTTGGCGTGAGTGAGCAGGAGTAAGTATTCCGTTGCTTTTATGGACTCATTATCTATGGGCTTCTCCCTTGACGGGACGTCCTCCCGATTGCCTGCGAGCTTCTCCTGCTGTCTGTACGGTCATTTCTGTACAGCGCGACAGAGAGTCGAGTGGTTATGACGCAATCGTTAGCCTATTTTTACTAAAACTGTTTCTACGGGGCCATAATGTAACATAGAAGGTAATGGAGCCCTTTATACATTGTCGTGTTTCTTTAGAAATAAATAATGGACAAATGGAGTCTTTAAACGCCTCAGATGTAAAGTTATTCGCTGTCAAAGTGACGCCAAAATGAATGGGAGTCAATGGAAATGCTAACGCAAGTGAAGTTCTGCTACAACATGGCGGCCCCCGGCCGGCTTCAACTTCCGGTCGATGGATTACCCCCTTGCGACACTCCCATAGACCTTTGGAATGCGGAAGTAACGCGTGTCGTGGAGCAGCCCAAGGGGGTAATCCATCGACCGGAAGTTGAATGCTAAAAAATGGAAGAAAAAAATGGAAATGCTAACTTGCGTTAGCATTTCCATTGACTCCCGTTCATTTTGGCGTCACTTTGACAGCGAATAACTTTACATCTGAGGCGTTTAAAGACTCCATTTGTCCATTATTTATTTCTAAAGAAACACGACAATGTATAAAGGGCTCCATTACCTTCTATGTTACATTATGGCCCCGTAGAAACAGATTTAGTAAAAATAGGCTAACGATTGCGTCATAACCACTCGACTCTCTGTCGCGCTGTACAGAAATGACCGTACAGACAGGAGGAGAAGCTCGCAGGCAATCGGGGGGACGTCCCGTCAAGGGAGAAGCCCATAGATAATGAGTCCATAAAAGCAACGGAATACTTACTCCTGCTCACTCACGATAAAGGACTCTTTGCTCAAGTTCCCCGTCTCTGCAAGATTAACGGTGGCAATTTTCACGCACAGCTACTAGAAGAGTAACGTCTGTCAGACAGGTTGCTCACGTCATCAAGCTTAGTTTGAGTCGGTTTGAGTCTGCGCGTCAGGAACGGAAGTGCTCAGAAATCGCTAAAAATGGGCTTCAACTGTCTCAACTGAGTTCCAATGAGATGGCTCTGTCCATTTCTTATACTGTCTATGGGAGCAGCCAATAGTTCCAAACACTGATAGTTTCTCCATTGAACCCCATTCATTTTCAGTGCTTCCGAAGTACGCTCGCTGGTAAATTAATGAAATTACTGTATTTTTTTTACTTTTACACACATTAGCCGACCTCTCATGAATCTAGTCTGTAGTTATATTTTATGTAGCCAGTTTTAGTAAATGTTTATTGGAAGATAATAGGTTAATTGCAGCGATAGCTTACGTGACCAACACTTCACTAACGTTAGCTAACTTACGGTAACTGATGTATATAATATATAATATTTTTAATAATATTTTATATGTATGTATATATATATTTATATATATATATATATAGCCTATATATAATATTATATATACATACACACACACACACAATTCATTTATTTAAATGGGTTAGGGTTATGCATATATGTGCTTATATGTATTTAGGAACATAGTTAATTCACTCATTAACTATCTCTCCGGTTTAATTTTATGAAGAATATTTTTCGGTTGAATATTTACCGAACATTGCTGTATATAGTCGTTGCTTTCTACGTTATGGGAGCAGTCTATTTCCCTCCTAAATCATTCATTTGTACATGCACCGCGTAATTATTTATATTTTATGTTGGTTGGAATTGTGAACGGACTGCAGACCTCT